TTCCCAGATTTCCTCCCACGGGGTCCGTCGTGCAGCTTTGCGCGCTGCACCAGTTGGTACAGGCAGAAGGTTATTCTCTCCGGGGCATTGACAGTCAATGTAGCGTGCACTAAAGAGAGATGCTTTCTCTATTATCTGACCGCACGCCCGGATTGGCTGGGCGACTGTGGGAAACACCGAGACGCTGGAGACTCACGTTAACCGCTAAGCCGCTTGCAGATATAAATAGAGGCGCTGGGAGAGATCCAGGGCATAAGGGTGGCGCTTGGGTTAAGCTCAGAGCAGCTGACATCCCAGATCTGTCCGTCTGCCGAGCCAATTTGGGTTAAGGATGGCTCCCAGCAACAGCTGTATGGTCCACATGGAGGAGGAGAGGTTGTTGGCCAAGGAGAAGAACAAGGTAAGGCAGAACTTCAGAGAATCAGTGGACCTGCGCCGTTTGCAGAGTGGTCTCGCACATGCTTTCAATCCACTCTCAATGCCCTCTAGCGAATGTTTGCAAGTGGACTTGGCCATTTCACACAGGACAGCCCAGTTGTTAAGTGCATTATTCAGTGTCTGTGATTATTCAGAACACCTTCTGAATAATGCGCTTTCAGTACCCTTTGGCATGGTGTGCAAATAGGTCTGGCCATTTCACAAAGTTAAAACCAGTTGCAAAAAAGGGGCATTTAAAGTGGAGTGAAGGTGCATGATTCACTGCGTGCGGAAGCACCCCAGTTTCACACGGGGCTTGTTCGTCACTTGAGGATTAGGAATTGCAGGTGTGAACGGGTGCCACGCTGTTTGGAACGCACTGCTTTCCGGTGAAGGGAGTTCACATGTTCCGATGCCAGGAATGTAGAGGAATCGATAACTCAAACAGGCATGGGTTAACCAGGTCTTAAAATGACAAGTCCTGGGAATGACAGAGAGGAAGGTTGTCAGAAGAGAGGTTGGGGTTCACTCGAATCAGACAAGCAGTTGTGTACGTGTGTGTTTAGAGCCAGACTTTCCCCGGTGTCTTTTAACTCCGCTTCTGTGGTGGAGCAGCACGGGTTGCCAACAACTACGGGATGCTTCCCAGATGTTGCTGTTTGATCGCGCCCTTTAGATGCATCAGGCATTTGTACCTATGTCGGATCTAAAGGCGTGTATGATTGCAGCCTGATAGAAGCTGTCTTTTACCAGATGGAGTTCCATGACTCTATTCCTGCAATCATGGGGGGTGGGGGCACTGAATCTCTGATTTTTACCAGTAGAAAAGAACAAGAGTCCAGTAGCACCTTAAAGACTATCAAAATTTGTGCCAGGATATGAGCTTTCATGAGTCACTGCTCAAAGAAGTGAGCAGTGACACACAAAAGCTCATGCCCTGCCACAAATTTCTTTAGACTTTAAGGTGCTACTGGACTCTTGCTGTTTTTCTACTGTTAAGAAAAAAGAGAGTAGCTAGCTAGATGGATGGGAATTCCATGACCTTGGGGCATGAGACAGACAAGAGATTAGTCAGAGACATATCAGGGCGGAGACATCTGTGTCCTTGGCAGCTGCGTTTCAGTACAGGCATCTGGAAAATTCTGCTAAATGGCAGGGCACGAGATGGGAGAGTGGAGGCATGGGGTTTGGGCTCCCACAAAACTTTGCATTGTAAGTTCTCTCCGAACACAGCTGGGCCACATCTGCAGGCTGACCCTGTATTCTTCCTCCTTGACAGCTGAGAAAGCCGGTGGTGGAGAAGATGCGCCGTGACCGCATCAACAGCAGCATCGAGCAGCTGAAGATCTTGCTGGAGAAGGAGTTCCAGAGACACCAGCCCAACTCCAAGCTGGAGAAAGCCGACATCTTGGAAGTGGCCGTCAGTTACTTGAAACAGCAGCGGCAAGCTCAAGGCCCAGGTGAGAGTACAGGGAAAGCCCCCGCGGGCTCAGATATACAGGACTTTTCTTGCAAGCTTCGTGGTCAACAGGTCCCTAATGTCATTTGCATGAAGGCTGAGAGAGGCTCTTGCTGATTTAGGATTTTTGTTCTGGTTAGGTCACCTGGATGGGGACATTAGGTGCACACAAAAATATAGGAAGAGACAACCCTGTGCATATCCAAATCAGGGTGTCAGGACTGGCAGGACCTCAGTTTGCCCTGTCTAATATGTAAAATGGGCTCGTTTGTATGGTGGAATTGTGTAGAATGTCAGATTTAGGGATCTGGATTGAAGTCCCTACTCAGCCATGCAGTTCACTGGGTATTTTTGGCCCTGTCACTCTCTTATTCAGTTTCACCGGGTTGTCGTGAAGATAAATAGTGGGAACCTACTTGCTGCCCTGTAGAGGGACAATAGGATTGATAGCTAACAAAATGATAAAGATTCTCAGATCTCTGAAGATTTGTGTGTGACTACTGCTGACATTCTTTTTTTTTGCAAATTTTATCTTTTCTCTAGCTTTCGGCCAGAAGAATCCGGAACTTGACTTTAACACCGGGTACTTGCGTTGCTTGAGGGAAACATTTAATTTCCTCTCCTACTGTGAACCCAAGAGGGAAACGCAGACCTGGCTGATCAAGCACTTCTGCAAAGTCCACGTCATCGCCGACCACGCACGCCCACCCGCTCCCGCCACATGCTGCCCGC